TTCATGTAATGTTTAAGCTCGCTTCACACTAAAATTTTCTTTGACAAAAAAATATTTGGCCATACATATTCATGATGTGCCTATGTAGTCATGATGTGCCTATATATGGTCACTATAAATATAGTTTAAGTGAAATAAAAAAATGATTTGATGTCAACATGACCGTATTTGCACATTTGCTAAAACATATCCCATAATCACTACATGTGTGTGATCACATAAACAGCATAATGCAAAAAAAATGATGAAATTTGAAAGCTACATCTCCTGTTGAAATCAGCACTGAATATTTTGTGTTATGTGCCCAGATGGCAATTTAATTACGGTATCCAGATGAAATGTTAATGTTAATTTTTGATAAAGAAATTTACAGTATTTACCATAATACGTGTAACAGTAATTGCATTCTAATTGTAATTTTATTTTATTTTTTAAATTTAATTTAACATTATATCCTTCTGTTTTTCTATTGTCAGCACACTGAGAGCTTCCTTAATATATGCACTGTATAAGAATGAATTATTATTATTATTATTATTATTATTATTATTATTATTATTATTATTATTATTATTATTGTTATTATTATTATTCATGCAACTATTTTAACAGGTGTTTATTATGGAAAAGGGATTGAAATGTTAGCTTCACAAACTTGCACTGTAATTTGCCAAATCATTTCAGATTGATGTGTTACAAAGAATTTTGTATATCTGTTGAATATTTAATTACACATGTTTTCAAAGAAATAATAATAATAATAATAATCATTATTTAATAATATGTATAGCACACATTGTAATCATACAGTATGCTATCTACCTCAAATCTATGTTGCACCCACAATTTATGATATATAGTAGCACCTTAATCATATAGCACCCACTTTTAGTTAGATGAAACCAACCTGTAGTCATATGGCACCAACCTGTAATCATATGGTGCCTGCTTCAATCATAGTTACCCACCTAAATCAAATGGCAACCCAAATGCATGTCATATATGGCACCCACTTTTAATTATATATAATTGTTTTAATCATTACTAGAAATTGCAAATTGCAAGTGAAGTGCTGCAAAGTACAACTGCATATAAATGTTCTTCGAACAAAATTATTTATGCGAGTCAAGTGAAAATAATGAATTATAAAACTATAACAAATAATATGAGACACGACCCATTGTCTATATTAGAACACTTCTCATTGGGTAACAAAGTCGTAATTTTTCATTTTTGTCAAAAGTGTCTATAGTGTGGTGAATTATGGTTTAGGTTTTTTTTAATAAAGTTTCAAAAATTTCTATGTATGTGGAAAATGTTGTTGATTACCAAAGGTTACATTTTTTATTTTGAAGACTGCATGGTCTAGGAAGTGTACATTTTTTTATGGGGCAAGTTTCCAAGGGCTGGTTTTCTAGGGGCGAGTTGAATGCCAAAGAGTGTTGCCAAATTGCGAGCCAGCGTGTTATTTAATCACAAGTGCGAGACATATCACAAGTGTGAGCCAGCGAGCCATGATGCCACGACAATAGATAGAGACGTTAGTCAGTTGTGCAAGGTATCGGCTGAGAGTACAATTCAAAAAACAACTATAGGTCTAATAATGAATTATTGTGATGTTAAATAGACAATGTTAGCTATCAAAGAGCGACATTGTTTTTCATTGGGACCTTCGTCTTCAAGGCTAGGCCTATACCATCCTAGCTAGCCTAGGCCTAGAGTAGGATAAGGCTAGCGCGACATGCGGACGTTGGTACGAGTAGGTTAGTCAAAAAACGTCGCCTAGTAATTGATTTTACCCGGCAGAACGAAAGAAAGAAACTCCGCTTTTCGGTCGTCTTAGGCACTCGTTTTTTGACAAACAATGACCTTTCAGAGGTCAAATTGCTGTCAAGAATATGAATTGGCTGCTTCGCAGCAATTAATTTTTAACTCCTTTTTTTTTATTTACTGAGATGTTCATGTGTTAAGTTTATTATGTTTAATGCTAATAATAATATTTGGTATACTATTAAATGTCTACTATTAAGTATTACAGTATTTTAAAATTATAGATAGAACTTAAATTTTGCTTACATTCTGTATCTGTTTACACTATTTCTTGTGGTAGAAGGTCCCTTAAGCCTAGCTAGAAGGGTCACCCTCCGACAAAGTTGTGTAAATAAATTTATTGCCAGTATGTGTTATTTATAATGTTGAATGCACTTTTCCATGTTAGCATGTAAGCTTCTAAGCTGCTGGTATTAGAAACTGATTACATTGTTACTGACAACATTATCTCAAACATCTGGGTTTTTTGAGGCTGTAGACATTTAGCCAGTATTTATTGATTCATTAACTTAATTAATCAAGACATGATGTATTATAATTGTGGCAAAGACAAGCCAAACCAGTCACTCGTCGCAAAAATCGATTTTTTGATATTAATACAGTGTTAGAGAGTAAAATAATAGCTATAAAATGGTAAAAAAATCATTCAAATCGGACATTTCCTTATGAAGTTACAAGCGTTTAACCACACAGCTGTTTAAAGAACTATATATGAGAAATCAGCCTTCAAAGTTTATGATTTCAGGCATTTCTCATGCAGAAACTATCATCAAATCCTTAAGAAATGTTGTTTTAACATTGCACATTGGGAAAATAACTAATAAATTACCTACACATAGAATGATGTGTAGGTAAATAAAGGTTAGTTTAGTGCAATAAAATAGATTTTCAAAAATTTGACATTCCAGCATGATTTGGCCATTTTCTCTGAAACACGATTTGCGACGAGTGACTGGTTTGGCTTGTCTTTGCCACAATTTATTCTCCTAATTTTAAAAAACAAAATAAGTAATAGTTGAAATGGTACCAAAAATATTTAAAATAAGAAAAAATGTAAATCATATAATATAATTGCGGCATGTTATGATAGATACCGGTTGTCTGATTAACATACATTGTCGTCAATGATGTATTCGTCACCCGTTAGTACACAACTCAATAAATTAATGTCTACCTTATCAGCCTATGACAGCAGTATTACTAGAAAGTAGAGTGAATTGTTATTAAAACTTTTCCCATCATGATGGCCTTTCAGAGGAAGAGGTAACTTGAATTTGGTAACTTGGAAATTTTCTGCAATTTCCACACAATTTTTGTTTTTGGGCCATGATTCCTACAGTAAATCCCTTCACTTCCACATAGTGCAATAATCCGTAGTCACAGGACTCAGAAATCGGGATAGCCTCCTGCATTCCCATTAGCAAGCCAAAATCTCCCGGACGGCAACCCATCTTTTCGCAAATTAATGATATTTCGATGTTTTGAACACATTGACTGCCACGCCTTTTTTCCTATAACTATAGTTGCATCACATATGCCAAGGCATAAAGGCTGCCACCATATTGAGAATCATTTCCATCAACTGTAGTGAAACACGGTCAAACATACAGTAGTTATTTTTAGATCATTACTTCCCTGAACCTCCAGGGTGAGAGTTAGCGTTCTACCGACCACTGCCCATGAGTTTACGTGCAATAAAATAGTAGTATGTTGGAGATCATGTGAACCCTGTCGAACGTGAACTTGCGCCCCTGGCAGTGAATGTACTAATACTGTACAAATTCCATCATTAGTTTCCCGGCTTGTGATGGGTATCACCACGGACAGCAAAATATAATTACAGTAAATGTTTTAAAAAAGCTCATTTAACCAGATCTCACGAAAGTTGCTTCTTTCAGCGTGGGATCCCGTATTTTGAGAGCTAAGATAACTTTTTAACATGATGATTAGTGGGACAGGTCGATGACTTAAGTTGTTTACACAATGAGCATGATTTACTGGATTTATACAGGCTCATGATAATTCCTACATATCCTAAAGCATATCAGCATTGCAAGTATAGATTAATTTTAATGACGACCAAGTAATAAGATATAGCATTTAATTAGGGAGCTCTTGTCTACCCAAGATTCAGTTACAGTGATTCTGCTCATACTTGCACTGACGTGGAAGGATTTTGGTAATGTGCATGCTTTACTTAGAATGTAAGATGTTTAGCAAGTTTCATATTTATTGCTGAAGTGTTAAGAGCATTCTGCATTTACGTGATGTTTCTTGATCTTTATTGTGATTTTCAACTGCTCGTAAATTTGCTGATGGTTAGGAATGTAGAACTTAGAATTTAGCTAGTAGGTTTGTTATTTTGTATGGCACTACTGTTGAAAACACTTGGCAACCAAATATTAATATTCAAAGCTGTTTTTGGGGTACCTTAGCATCCTCCCTCCCTTTTTTTTGTTCAAATGTAAAAAATATAATAGTAAATAAATGGAAAAGACATTAACAACCAATTTATTTATAATATATTCCTTTTTTATTTGTTTTGTTGTGTTTTTTTTATATGGTTTGTTTTATTGTTGATTCATTATGATCGAGATGACTTTATTTCAGCCAATTTATTGCCTCATTGCCATATGCTTCGTCCTCCTTTTGCGTTTTGCGTCAAGTTCAGTGGACGTCCAGTAATATTTCTATCCAGACGCCCCCCCCCTCCCCTTTATAAAAAAATTCTGGATACGCCACTGATTTAACTCATCACAGACTGATAATATTTATAGGAGCGGTTTGGCACACTAGTTGCAGTTCTGCTTCTTAACCTTGGGGTCAGAGGTTCAATACCTCGTTGTGTACGGTATTTTGCTTATGTCCTTAGGCGAAGCACTTTACCCATAGTTGTCTCTCTACACCCAGGACTACAAGTGGATACTGGAGGTTCAAACACAAAATGCACTGATTACAGGTGCAACATTATGGAATTCTCCCCAGATAACTGAGTATTTGTTCATATGTAGTTGATCCAATGACCAGGGGTAATAATGTTAAGCGTATGGAGGTCTCTACAATATTCACTATATAAGTTGACATTATTTATATTGTTATTTATTAATAACTTTATAATTGTAGAATAAACAATAGTAATAATTTTGTATTTCATTATTTTATTTTTACAGGTTTGAAAACAGTGAAGCCTCATTGCTGATAAAGGGCGGATGAGCTCCTCAGAGTCAAAGGCCAGCCATTAATTTTAGGAATAGGAGTAGCTTAGCCTTATTGTTATTATGATTATTATTTTTTATTGTTATTTTGTTGTTATTTGTATTTGTTCGGTTGGCCTATATTATATCTGTGTAAAGCACATCTGGGGCAATTGCAATATGTGACCCAAGCTCACAAACAGGCTGTAAACTCGCACTGCACTGTATTGAGAAACAAGCCTCAATACCCAGAATAATGCGTAGAATGTGAATTTTTTGTGAATTGGGTTTTTGTGTAATAAATAAAGTATAACTATTAATCTTAATATTCCTGAATTTTGAGTTTAAAATTCCAACTGTAAGAGGTAAAATTTAGCCATTTTCGGATGGGAGCTAATGAAAAATGAATAGAAACCTGCTGAAAATAAAAGCATTTTTCTCAAAACTTGATTTAAGAAAGTTGATAAGATGACAATTATTCAAATGGTCCAGACACCCGATTGAGTTCATTTAACTGTCATTTTAAAGTAAATGATATGTTCTATGTTCAAACTCATTTTGGCCTGAGGATGAGTTTACAGCCTGTTTGTGAGCTTGGGTCACATATGCGCTATATAAATATAACATCATTATTGTTATTCATGTTACCTATGTTTTACAATTATTGTAATTAAAAATTTATCAAAATACTATGATATGTCTTCCAATATACAGATTTCAAAAGTATAGAAATATGAATTGAATTCTGAAGAAAATTTGTTGAAAAATATGCATACATACTGAGATACTGTTATTGAAAATATATTGTAATTACTGTATACCTTACAAGATTCAAAACCAAGATAAACAAATGGGTTTCAATATTTGTATCAGTATTTCTCAAATATTTTAAAACTTTCAAATGAAAAGTAAAATATGAAAATATTTTCTTCTTTCCAAGCAAGTGAAACAATGGCGTATCTAGAGTTTTTGGCGCCCCCCCCCTAAATTATAATTATAATATTGTGAAATAAGTTGATATTGGTTGTATAGGCTTTCAGCATATGGAGTCTTGTAAGTTGCTGAAATTGTAACATTGTTTAAACGCGCAATTGCATTTGGCGTGTTATTGCACCTAGCAAATAAGTTAATAAATGATCAAAGTTAGTGTTGTCTGCTTCATCGCGCTCAATACTAAGGAGTGCCAAAGCAGAGAGTCTCGCTTGTCCCATCGTGGCTCTGAGATATGGCAGGATGAGCTTTATCTTGCTGAATGAGTGCTCACAACTAGCGATTGAAGTAGCCAATGTCAACATGATTTGAATTGCTACTCGCAAGTTCTGAAAAAAGTTCTCATCACTGTACTCAACTCAAGGAGTTCCACTGCATTTGTGATGCTAGTGTTTCTTCGACTTTTCAACCCTGCACCCTGCAATCTGTTACTTTATTATACAGATTCTGTTAGCATTGTACAAGTCGCCAACACGATTGCAACTTTCCTGGATGGTAGAGTCCCTGCTTTCTGATTCTGTCAAAAGTTCTTGAATATTCAACAGGAAATCAAATCTTTTGTTCAGGTCATCGAGTCTCGTAAATCCTTCCTTTAGTCACTCAAGAGTCTGTCAACAGACCCTTTCATTAGTCGCATTATTTCGTTTTTTTCCCTTTTTTTTATTATCATTTATTGCATTATTTCTGCATCCTGAGCTGTTTTTTCACCAGGCATTTTTTTCTTCCTTCTGGCCGTCTTTCCAGCGTGATCTCTCACTCTTCGCATATGTGCAGTGCTCTGCTAAGTGAATCATTGCATATCGATTCACGATTCTCCAAGAAGAGCTACCAGATCACAACATTTATGTGACAGGTGATCATTACAGAACAGGATAAAAAAAAAAGAAAAAACAGTTGATTTGGACTGTAAAGAAATTACAATCTATGAATTTGCCAATAAAAACAACTATATTTAGATATCTTCTTATTATACATCAAAAACGTACTTATTTTTTTTACACTCAGAGGTTATCTTTTGATGTCTAGAAAACAAAAATTTCGCGGGGGAATGTCCCGGACACCCTAGGTGTTATCTCTTTCGTTCCCCCTTTCGGACATCTCTGAACCCGCCCCTGGTGTCCTTAATGCTACTTGCCTGTACCCATCCTACAGGTGGAAGTTTTTACACCCTTTACCAGTATGTCCAGGAAGGTTACACTGGTGACGTATCCACTCATTGTTCTCTTTGGTTTTGGGCTGGCTGGGTTTTGGTTTTTTTGAGTTTGGTGGAGTAGATGTAGCCTTACTGGGTATTGGAAGGGTGACTAGTTGATGCACAGTTACGCTCCGTTGTTTAAGCTGGAATTTTGCTTGTCCTGGATTAGTCTTCCTGCTCTCTTACTAATCACATAAGATGCTCCGGCGCAATCTTACTTTCGCAATGATGATGCAGAGAAGCTTTGATATTCGCATCATGTAGTCCTTTCCAAAACACATCACGTAATCGATCAGACCAGTCACCAATTTCACCTTTGTCTCTTGCTTGGTGGGGCAAGTCTTCTAAACAGTAAAAGAATGATTGTCTAGTTTCATCTTCATTTTGCTTGCAGGAGTACAACGGCATCATCAACAGATAAATAAAAAATGTCTAATTTCTTTAGCACTTCCTTTAAACTTGGGCATCTCATGGTGAGATGCCAGGCTTCTCCTCGCAGTCACTTACATACGCAGTCAGTGGACATACAATGGTCGGTAGGTAGTATCTTCCGCCATTAACATACAGACTTCGTACTGCCATTCGTCGTACATGGTAACTGGAGACATCTCTTGCATAGGGATTGGTTGCACTGTGTAAGGTGTTTTAACTGGTTCTTCGAATCGATGTACATTTCTTTGATGATGGCCTACGTATGGTTTCATGGTTGCTTACTACACTTTGTGTACCTCTGTATGATGATACAGTTGGTATCTGTGGCAGGTATCTTTTTGGTCGATTTTTTTGTGTTGAACAGCGCTATGATTAGTAGGTGTGTGTGCAACACGGTCATTAAATGTATTTGGTTCTTATATAGTTAGGTGTTGGCGTTCAGAGTGTAAATCGATGATTGATGGTGGTGTAAGTACCAGTGGAGTTCATTGAGTAGTCCGAAGCATGACCACAAGAGTACTGGTGTTCGGTCATTTTGGTTCTTTGTAGCTTGTGGGTGCCCTGGCTGTGTTGTTTCCCTTTTCTTCTGAAAACGTTTGGACTTCGCAGCATATCAGTGTTGTTGGGCGCCAAAATTATGTTACGGTTATTCTACAATTGATGGATACAATCTACCATGGCCGTGGGCGCATTGTTGCACACTAAAATAATACAGACTTAACTCAACTTTGATAGTAAACTTTAATTCTTGTATCCGTTTCTTAGATGATTATGAAGTATACACACACACACACACACACACACACACACATATATATATATATATATATATATATATATATATATATATTTTATATACCTTTTATTTACCTTTTTCATGATTTATATATAATTTAACAGTGTTAATGGCTATCTTGATTATTATTATTATAATGTTACTATTTATTTCCAGCCTTACTTAATGCCCTCTCTTTGTTGTAACATCAATATGATAGGCCTTGTTTTGTAAAAATGAGGGAATGCAGTAGCATGGTTAAAAAAATTGAACCCCAGGATCTCCTACCTTACCACTAGAATTTTTTTTTTTTTTGTGGTTAAATAGACACCTAGATTTCCCATGGAAATGTCACTTTGAGACTGTAAAGATACCTTTTCAAACCAGTGTTTCCCCTGTTCTACTGCTGGCACCATACTTAGACATCGTATCATATCAGCTGGCTTAATTCTTTATCCCCCATCAGTTTTCCCCTCTCCATGTTGATACTCTACACCACTAGGTACAGTGAGCTACATTCTTCAGTGGCGTATTCAGTGGGTGCTCAGGGAGGACTCCTTTCAGAGGTTTGGAAAAAAGTAAAAGCAATTACAGATTGGCAAGAATGCTACAGTTTCGCTCTTCAGACACCAAAACACTCTTTATGTCTCATTAGAAAACTACTGTAGGTGATACTTTCGTACCAATGGACTAATACTAGAAACACGGACAGGAGGATGCGTCATTACAGTCGATTTTCTTCTAACTGCCACAAACAAAAGCGCCGTTAATAAATAAACAAGCGCGTACAATTAGTACCCTGTCCACCATACGGTGGTGGAATCAATGAGAAAGCCGGTCCGGAGAACCCCCCTCCCCACCCAAGTTTTCAAAATTATAAAACAAATAGAGAAAAAATAAAAATTATATTTAAATTTAAGTTTTTAGTGATATGCAGTTTTTTTTTTATTTTTATTTTAAGGGATTATTTTGGATTATTAACTTTACCTGGGATTAACAATGGAAACAAGTTGGCTCTTCCAATGTTCTGAATACGTAGTTCATGCTTCAAAAATGAATATTATTATATTCCAATTTGTTATAAACATAGATAGATATTATTAAGATCAGTCACTAGTTGAATAAACGCTTGCAAACCTCTTTGTATCGTATTCCCTTTATAATAAGGTAAATCATAATCATCATTTCTTCTATAAAATTAGATGATTAGTACATTTGATTAACTAAGTAAGTCTTATAGTGGGTAACCGCAAGGGAAAGGCGCAATATAAATACCAAATACCAGTACCAGTACCAGGTTTACCTTTTATAATTAATGTATTTCCTATCAAACAGAATATAAACTCAACCCCTTGATAAAGCCAACAAATGAACCATAAAATCATCACTTTAATTTCTAGATTTATTATGTTAGCATCAGGTAACAGTTAAATTTTAACTTAATAATTTAACTGTTCCCTTATTAACTCAGCACGTCTTTTACGGTTTTTATTTTGTTTTCTATTTTCCGCAAATTACAAGATAGCAATGTCTTTTCTATTGTGCAGTGCTGATTGAAGGGGATCATCCGCCCCCACCTCAATTGTTTTAAAAGAAGAGAAAATTATATTATATATACTCAGCATGTATTTTATGGTTTTCATTTTATTTAAATTTTCTATAAAATTTCTATCATGCAGTAGCAGATCCAAGGAGACACAGCCCCACCCCCCTCCCCCCTAATTTTTTCACTTCGAGAAGTTTTTGTTTTCTAGATGCTTTGAAATGCACTTTCGTGCATTATGATGAGACGTCTATTATTGAATACACTCTCTGAATTCATAATTTTTAACTCATTAATTAGCAGGTCCTTTGATGTGAAGTGTCAAGCAAGGCCCATAACCTGAGTTACTGTTGAGAATTTGGCGACATTATGGTCGTCGTTGTCAAATGTTCAATGCATACAGTCGGACAATAGTTATATGGTTTATGATATTATGAATCATACAAAATAAAAAGAATACAAATAAAAAGTAAAAAACATCTACACTAAATCAAAATG